AAAAACTACTGCTGTGATAACTGATAATGCCAAAAATATGAAGAAGGCATGGAGACTGATTAAGAAAAAGTATAATCATATATTTACTATTGGTTGTGTGGCTCATGGCTTGAATTTGCTGATGAAGGACATAATTAAACTTGAATCGCTGAAAAAACTGAAAGAGAATGCAAAGTCTATTGTGAAAGTATTTAAGCAGAAGCATGTGGTTCACAGCGTTTTTAATTCCAACCAAGAACAAAATATGCCATCTTTAAAGTTACCCAACAACACTAGATTTTCTGGTGATGTTTTGGTCTTCAACTCACTTCAGTGTAATAAATCAGCTCTCAAGAAAACTGTAATTGAAGAAGACCTTGATATTCCACAGAATATAAAGACTTTGATTTTAAATGATGATTTCTGGATGGAAATAAAATATGCTCTGAACATCCTCAAACCAATTGCTGATGCTCTTACATCTCTTGAATCAGACTCTGCTCTTCTTTCTGATGTTCCATATCACTTTGAAAAAATAAAGACGCAAATTTCAGAAGCTCTTGATAGTCTTGATAAAAGCAATCTCAGTGAGATAGATAAACGTAAGGTACTACGTGCAATCAAACATCGAGAAAACTTTTCCTGTCAGTCTGTTCATAAAACAGCTTATTTACTTGATCCTAGATATAAAGATAAAAATTTAAGTAATTCAGATATGCCATCAGTGGTTAGAGTAATCAACGAACTTTGTACACATTTGAAACTTGATAAAGGAAAAGTACTAGCTAATTTGGCTGAGTATCGAAGTGGAAATGGTATTTGGTCTTCTAATTCTGGTATCTTTGGAGCTGCCGAATATACGACTCCAGTTGCATGGTGGCAGGGACTCTGTGCTGGACAACCTATTGCTACAATAGCAATTCGCCTATTAAATATTCCACCTAGTTCAGCTGCATGTGAGCGAGTATGGTCAGCATTCGGAGGAATTCACACTAAGAAGCGAAATCGTCTTAAAAATGAGAAAGTTGAGAAGCTGGTTTCAGTGCAATGGAATCTACGCTTGTTTAATAAATCACCAAAGACGCACAAGCGCTATATTACAACAGATACACGTAGGAATACGAGTGAGGAAAATAATGATATTTTTCTTGACTCAAATGACTCACAATCAGAATCTAATACAGAAAGTAATGAAGTAGAATCAGATGTAGAGGTCGATTCATATTCTTCCTCAGATTCCGAACCGGAAAGTACAATTGAGATTGAGAATTGAGAGTGACTGAATGAGAAAATGAGACTGATCAAGCTTTTTCTTAGTTTAATAAGTATACTGTATAAAATTTATAAGAGTACAACAGTAAGATATTTACTTTATTATTTTTTGTTACTTTGTTAGTTTTATTTTTATTATTATTTGTTCTATCAAATGAACATTCTGCGATAACAAAGTACAAAGTACTAGTATTTTTTGTTACACACAAAGTATACTTATATTATATTATTTGACATCATAATATTTTTACAAAAAAGAAATACAATTGTATATTTTGTTACACACAAAGTATACTTATATTATATTATTTGACATCTGTAATACTTTTACAAAAAAGAAATACTTGCTTATAAATTGTCTATCTCCTTTATACATATATATTCTTCTATATATGTATATATATACACATAATAAAATAATAACACTTATTCCTACAGGTTATGGGCCCAGGGCGATAACTTTAATGCCAAAAAGGCTGAAAACGTGAGTCTACCGAAAACGTTCGAAGAGATCGTTAAAGTCACGCGACGGATTCGTAAAACTCGTGAGTGCCATACTTTCTCTAACCTATAGAAAACTGTCGCGAAAAATGAATCAATTAAATATAAGAATCCAACCCTTGGATAAAGACAATTACGACACATGGAAAGTACAGGTAAAAGCGCTCCTAGTAAAGGGCGATACCTGGGGATACGTCTCGGGCGAAATAGAAAGGCCAACCCAGGACCAAGCAGCCATTTCAAGTTGGAAGAATAACGACGCAAAGGCCATGTCGGACTTGATCCTATCTATTTCTCCAGCCGAGTTAAAATATGTTAAAACATGTGAGTCTTCAAGAGACATATGGAAAAAATTGCAATCGATTCACGAATCACAAGGACCAGCGCGAAAAGCAATGCTACTGAAAAACTTAATCCACGTAAGGATGAAGGATGAAGACGATATGCGCACGCATCTAGCAGATTTCTCGGACATCGTAGATAAGTTAGAAGACTTAGAATTGAAGATAAATCCGGAACTAGTTACAATTCTTATGCTATATAGCGTACCGGAAAACTACGAGTCATTTAGAGTGGCGATAGAGACACGGGATAAACTCCCTAGCCCCGAAGAATTGAAGATCAAATTACTAGAAGAGTTTCAATCTCGAAAGAGAATAAGTGCTGAAGAAGCTTCAACAACGGCCATGCTTGTTTCGAAGCAGAACAAATTTAAAGGTAAAAACGCGCGAATCCCTGCTGATAAAAACGACGAGCGTAAAGAAATAAAGTGCTACAAGTGCAAAAAGGTCGGACACTTCGCAAAATATTGTCGAAAACAGCCAAATGCTCAGAAGAAAAATAATGAAGAATCAAAATGCGCGGAAGTAACTATGAAAATACACACATCCGCCGAGGGTGCACAAAGTGCAACAACGAAAGAACCACGAAACGTTTGGTGCCTCGACTCAGGCGCCACCTCGCATATGTGCCGCGACCAATCCGCGTTCAAGGAAATTAATGAAGACAACCTAACATTAAATTTGGCTACAACGGGTACAACCAATACTCATGGAATCGGAATCGTTAAACTAAACGTAAGCGATGAAGTGACGACCGTATTAAAAAATACATTATTTGTTCCAAATCTTCGTTCAAATTTGCTTTCAGTGGCAAAAGCAACTGATCACGGACACAAAGTGATCTTTAGAAAGGATGGCGCAACAATCGTAAACGCAAATAATGAAAAAATCATTGAGGCAAAACGAGTGGCCAACCTATACGTCATTGAAGATACAAATACAAGTGAAAGTGCAATTATCGCGAACGCCGAGGAAAACTCATGGCAACAACTTCACGAAAATTTTGGACATTTGAACATGAAGGACCTTAAATGTTTAGTAAACCGCAAGTACGTGCACGGAATAAAGGTAACGGGTGATGAAAAATTGCCTGTTTGTGAGATATGTGTACAAGGGAAATTCGCTCGTATTCCATTCGCTAAGTCAAATACGACAAGTTCTGAGGTGCTGCAATTAATACACACCGATATTTGCGGGCCAATGCGCGTTCAATCGTTAGCCGGGTCGAGATATTTTGCAACATTTGTGGACGATAAAACTCGATATTGTGAAGTTGTTTTTTTGAAGAACAAAAGCGACATTTTCGAGAAATTCGTTGAATTTAAAACACGTGTTGAAAAACAGACCGGAAATAAAATAAAGATCGTTCGATCAGACAACGGCCGAGAATATCTCAGTAATAAATTTATAGAATTTTTCAGACTCGAAGGCATCGTACATCAATTAACTGCTGACTACACTCCCCAACAAAATGGGATTGCCGAAAGACTCAACAGGACCATAGTGGAAATGACAAGGTGTATGCTCATCCAATCGAAGCTGCCTCCAACGTTCTGGGCTGAAGCCGTGTTTACAGCATGTTACATCCGGAACAGATGTCCTACTCAAGCTCTTCAGGGAGGTATTCCGTATACTGCATGGACAAGTAAGATACCGACTGCAATTCATTTTAAAACTTTCGGTGTAGTAGCACACATGCTCGAAAAAGGAAAAAATCTCGGCAAATTCGATTCAAAAACTAAAAGATGTATATTCATAGGATACTCCCTAGAATCAAAAGCGTATCGCTTGTGGGATCCGGTCGCCAAAAAGGTACTAAAGAGTCGCGATGTAAAATTTTTGCAAGAATTTCAGAAAAATGAAGGCGAGACTCTGGATGACTTCATTGACATTGAAGTTATAACTGGTTCCTGCAACAAAGAAAATCCACAGCGTGATGCTGATGAAGAGATTGAGAGTAAGAGCTTCGAAGAGAAAGAGAGTGAAGAATTCCTTAGCGCAGAAGAAAACACAAGTGAACACCGCGAGGAAATTCACAGCGAAAACATTAATAGAGATGCGACAGCTGTATCATCAACGAAATTCGGAAGAGGTCGACCTAAAACAATCCGAACAGGAAAACCTGGAAGACCAATAAAGAGAAAGCACGAAGTTCCAATTATCGCAGCGCAGGAAAACAACAGCGAGTCTGAAGAGGACGCAACTTTAGCTGATATCGATAGTTACGAGGAAAACGCTGACATCATCGAAGCTACCATTTTTGAAGAATACGCTGGACTTACCCGCGTGGATGCAATCAGTGTAGAACAGGCTCTAAAATCACCGGAAGCTACCGAATGGAAAAGAGCCATGCAAGAAGAAATAGATGCCCTCCTAAGTAATAACACATGGACCATCGTAGACCGACCACAGGACAAAAGAGTCATTGGAAGTAAATGGATTTTGCGCACAAAATTTAATGCAGACGGCACAGTAGAGCGAAGAAAAGCACGCTTAGTGGCTAGAGGCTATGCACAACGCAAAAATTTAGATTATTTCGAAACATTTGCTCCTGTTGCACGCCCCGAATCTATACGAACCGTGATGGCTCTGGCAATTGAAAAAAATCTTGAAGTGCATCAGTTGGACTTTGTAAGTGCGTATCTGAATGGAGAAATAAATGAAGAAATATATTTAGAAGTTCCCGATTTTTATTCGGAAACACTAAAGGATAATAGATCGCCAGAACTATCTAAAAACAAGGTTTTTCATCTCAATAAGGCCCTATATGGCCTAAAACAATCTGGAAGATGCTGGTTTAAAAAACTAGATAAGAAATTAAAAGAGATGTCTTTCAAGCAGCTATCCGCTGATCACTGCGTATACTACCAACAAGACGAATATCTCAGCATTATAGTCATCTACGTAGATGACGTGATAGTGGCATCAAGTAGCAGCGAAAAACTGCGAGATATTAAAAAGAAGCTATCAATCTTCAAAATGAAAGACCTTGGACCAATAAATCAATGTCTTGGTATCAGTTTTCATCAAGATCGTATATCAAACTGCATTACTATGAGCCAAGAGAAACTAATAGAAGATATTATACAGAAGTTTAAGATGGAAGACTGCAAATCAGCACCGACACCTCTTAACCCGTCGATAAAACTGACAAAAGCAATGAGTCCTAAAAATGAAGAGGAGTGCAAGGAAATGTCGAATATACCTTATCGCAACCTTGTAGGCTCTCTTATGTATTTGGCCACTTCGACACGTCCAGATATAATGCACTCAGTCAGCCTTTTGAGCCAATTTAATGAAGACCCTGGAATCAATCATTGGAAAGCAGCAAAACGAGTCCTACGTTACTTAAAAGGGACAAAAAGCATGAAACTTGTTTTTCAAAAAACTAGGAAGAAACTGGTAGGTTTTGCGGACGCAGATTGGGCAAACGATGCAGATGATCGACGCTCATATACAGGTTATTTCTTCAAACTGTCAAATGCAGCAATCAGCTGGTCATCACGTAAGCAGAAGTCAATCGCCTTATCCAGCACAGAGGCAGAATACGTATCGCTTTCTGAAGCAGCCAAGGAGGCAATACATCTCAAAAAGTTTCTAGAAGAAATTTTAGGCAATCAAGAAGAAATAATCATATTCAATGACAATCAAGGTGCCACTCAGATGACCAAGAACCCTATCAACCATGGAAGGGCTAAACATATAGATATCAAGTACCATCATATCAGAGAAGTCGTAAATGCTGGAATAATTCGAGTGGAGTACCTGTCTACCGAGAAAATGCCAGCAGACGTCTTAACCAAGTCACTTGCTTCAACGAAGCATGAAAAATGTATTAAAGAAATGGGTTTAAAGTTATAATTTTTTGTTTTGTTTTTGGTCGCCAATTATCTCTTGAGAGGGGGTGTTAGTAAGTCAATTCAGCTATTATGGCGACACCTTGTGTTACATATTATATGTCTTGGTTTCCCTTCTACTATTTACCTGTGGCGACATCTTCAATGTCCTAGTCCCTTTTCTATACAAACAGTTAGTCTTACCTGTACCACCGTGTCGCTTGGTTATGTCAATAAAGCTTATGTGTAACAACTACATATAACGGTAGAATTCACTCTGCAGTCCCTGCTAATATTCCTACAAATACAATTCATTCTAATGT